CAGAGTGTTAAAACCTAATCGGTTAGCCGTGTCCCCGGTTACGGACAACTTAAGCATCTAGTAGTGAAAATGTCAGGAGATCTCATCACTCTTAATTTAAACAATTGGGTTTTAAATGAAACTTTGGGAATGGATTGAGTTGGGTTTCCCAACTCATCCTGCTACGTCGTAGTAGTAGAGTAATATCTTTTATTCTAGGGAAAAACTAGCTTTATGCAAAAACTAAATTTAGAGCTTTCCACCAGCCAAGTTGCATGTACAAATAGGTTCATTATACTCATGATGTGACTTGCCAGTACATTCAATGTATTGACCTACATGGCTGCAACGTCTTATGTTGCAGGAATTTCTACGACGAGTAAGAGTTACGTTGTAGGGTAACGATCTACACTCAACTTGCTGATGGCGTTGATGGGACTCCACACCCTTTTGACTGTTTTCGCTGAGAATTATGAGGTGTACATTAGTTTTACGTTATTTATACATGTGATTGCACTTTGATATATAGAGGCTTGATCGTTTGAGGTCGGGTCGCTACATGATGTCATGGCAGTTTTTGACAAGTTCTATAGGTTGGCATATGGCAATTTTGCTGAGCTCACATAGCCATGATCACTCTCATTTTGAAGAAGGACGGGGCCACAAGAATAAACGAGTTTAGGCCCATCAGCCTTATCCATTCCATAGCTCAGCTGATCACTAAGGTGTCATCCATGAGACTGGCTTCTGTCATCGACCGGATCATCTCCCCCACGCAAACGGCCTTTCAGAGGAAGAAATGCATTCATGACAGCTATCTTTATGTTCGGAACACTGTTCGGGCTCTGCATAGGAATAAAACACCGGCTCTTCTCATCAAGCTTGACATTGCTACAACTTTTGATAGTGTATCTTGGGAGTGCATGATGGAGTTGCTCCAACAACTAGGTTTCTCCTCTCGTTGGATAGATTGGATAGCACTCCTCCTGTCAACCTCCTCCTCGGCCTGCCTACTTAATGGCGACCCTGGCGAGAGTTTTTTTGCATCAGCGAGGACTGTGGCAGGGCGATTTGCTTTCGCCGCTCCTTTTCATCCTCTGCATTGATCCCCTCCACCGTTTCCTCAAGGCTGCCACCAGGGCGGGGGCACTGAACACCATTCCGGGCATGGTGGCGCGGATGCGCACGAGCTTGCACGCCGATGACGCCTAATCTTCATCAACCCTGTGCGTTTCGAGATAGATAACCTCCTAGAGCTCCTTCACCTGTTTGGAGATGTGACGGGCCTACGCGTCAACCTCTCTAAATCCTCAGCAATCCCCATTAGCTGCAGCGACATATATGTTCAGGATGACCTCTCTAAATCCTCGGTGATCCCCATTAGATGCCGCGACATATATGTTCAGGATGTTCTACAAAACTTCGGCGGCATCACGGCGACCTTCCCGACCAGATATCTAGGGCTTCCGGTTACTTTAGGGCGTGTTAGGCTAGTCCACCTCCAATTCATTCTTGATAGAATTAGATCGAGGCTTGCGGGCTGGAAGGGCAAACTCATGCCGCTGGCGGGCCGCCTCGTTCTCGTACGCTGCATGCTCTCAGCCATGCCGACCCTTTGCGCTTACGGCGCTGTGTATACCCAAGAAATTCTTCAAGGATATAGACAAGTCACGACAGCGTTTTCTCTAGGCGGGAGATGAAGAGATCACTGGAGGAAAATGCAAGGTTAGCTGGAGCATGGTGACCAAGCCAGAACACCACAGCGGTCTGGGCATCCCTGATCTCAGTCGTTTCGCCCGGGCGCTGCGGCTGCGATGGCTTTGGCAATCCTGGAATCAGCCAACCAAACCCTGGGTAGGCACTGGCACGCCCTGCGACGCCATAGACCGAGCTCTCTTTGCGGCTTCCACTACGGTGACCATCAGGGATGGGACTACTGCTTCCTTCTGGTCGTGCTCTTGGCTGGCTGGGAGGGAGACAACTCTGCCTGGCCTACCCCACGCTCTTCGCCAGGTCCATCCGCAAGAACAGAAGCGTCAGAGAAGCCCTGCACGGCGATCGGTGGATCCTCGACCTACGCCACGGTGACTACAACAACATCGCCCAACAAGTCGTTCGGTTGGCAATGGAAATTAGGCAAGCTGACCTCAACCTGGAACTAGAAACCCCGGACACGATCAAATGGAAGCTCTACAGTTCGGGCATCTACTCGGCGAGATCGGCGTACAATGCCTAGTTCAACAGAGCCCAACTTTGCAGTTTCAGAACGCTTAACTGGAAGATCTGGGCTCCGGGTAAAATCAAAATTTTCCTTTGGCTGCTGCATCTGGACAGCCTCTGGTGCAATGACCAGCTACAACGAAGAGGCTGGGAGAATGGATACTTCTGCCCCATGTGTCTACGCAACCTCGAGACCTCTCACCACATGATCTGGGACTGCCGGTCTCGCTGCAGGTCTGGAGCATTGCGGCTACTTGGACTGGGTGCAGTACAGTGACCCAAGGAGTGTGGAGCATGGGTACGACAACGATGGATAAAATTCAGAGGATCATATCTGCTACGGCTCCGGGACACAGGAAAGGCACGAAGACTATGATCGCCCTCATTCTCTTGGCATATCTGGTTGGAGCGAAACTCCTGCATTTTCAGAGGAAAGCAAGCTGATGCGAGGCACATTACATAAGCTTGCAAGCGCGACATGGAGCAATGGAGATTGGCCGGTGCAAGATGCATTCAGCAGCCCTTCAAGGATGTGACGTGAGAGATCCCTTTAAGCTTGCTTAGATGGCCTGGAGCACTGGGGCTCTGGGATGGATGTAATTTCTTTCCGGTTTCACCCTCACGAACGCTTGATCAACCCTTTGTCATCTCCCTCTCTGTTAAATGAATGAAAACCAGCTATGTTGGACGTTTCAGAAAAAAAAGTTACAACTATAGCACCTACTACTACACATACTAAACTAATTACTAGAGCTTGCGCATGCTAATTAAATTGTCAAATACACATTATCTGTTCTCCCTGTTGTCCCACTTGGATGCCAGAACCCTCACCATCACTCACGCTCAAGGTCGCTCCAATCAATGTAGTCTTCGGACGACTCGACGTTGACCACCACCTTCCGAAGAGGAAGGTCCTGGCTCGTAGTCGTTCTCTATGACCTCTTCCAATACCACTCCAGCTCGTATTGGGCGTACTTCAGGTGCTCCCGCGCAAACCTCGCCATCATCTTCTCGCCACTCTTCTCAGCGACAACATTGGTCTTCGTCTCCGTCTTCGTCGGGCGGGTCACAATGGTGACCTTCCGCCCGACGATCTCCGGGAAGTTGAGCATGTCCGTCGGCAGACCAAGCCGCCACACCATGATGTCATATGCGCGAGGTCCTCACTCCGGAAGGTGCCCAGCCAATACCGTTGGTCGGCATGCTGGAACTCCATGTCATACCAGCCGGGAGACCACAACCGCACTGCCCTGAAGCCGATCTTGAGCTTCGGTGGCATGGCGATGACATGGCAGCGACGAGGACGCACGGAGGACTGAGGAGGCGCGACAGAGCTACCAGATGCGCGTGGAGTGGCGGTCTACGACGGCGGCTGGACGAGATTCATGGGCGGCGGTGATTTAGTTGGTCCGGTGGCCAGTGGCGAGGTGGATTGAGTAGATCCGGTGGCGACAAGCCCAATCATCAGCAGATTTGCAGGCTACCGCGATGCGGTGGGAGAGGGGAGGGCTGCCGAAGGTTGCGGGTGGGAGGGGGGCTTTTGTTTACCGCAGCCCCTCTCGCGCCATATATTTGCAACGCGAGGAGCCCTCTTTTTGGGCTGCCCAAAAAACATTTTACAAAAAATATGATAGGGTTGCTGTTGAAGAGGGTCCTCCCCATCCCCCAAAATACCCCAAAACCAACTACTGCCCTATTTTAGGGCTGCCATTGGAGATGTTCTAAGGTGCAAAAAATTAGAGTAACAATTCCTCAAAAAATAAAGTAGAGTAACAATGAAGGGGATCTCAAGAGTACCAATGCTGCAAGGAGGAGCCGAAACAGGGACAGAAAATCAAAACTGTGATAAGTTTTATAGCAAATTCGGAATATATACGCCCTCACGCAAGAAAATCAAAACTAGCACCCCGTCGGCCTCCAATTGGCCCAAGAGGGGCTCTTCGGCCTACGGTTGACCGAAGTCGGCTCTTCAGCCTCCCGTTGGCCGAAGAGTGCCCCAACTGGGCCGAAAAGGACTCTTTGGTCTGCCGTAGGCCGAAGAGTACTCTTTGGTCAACCATAGGCCAAAGAGTTGGGGGCCCAAGGCCTAGCACTGCTTCGGCATACGGTTGACCAAAGAATACTCTTCGGCCTACGGCAGACCAAAGAGTCCTTTTCATCCCAGCTGGGGCACTCTTCAGCCAACGGGAGGCTGAAGAGCCTACTTCGGTCAACCGCAGGCCGAAGAGCCCCTCTTCAGCCAACTAGAGGCCGACGGGGTGCTAGTTTTGATTTTGGTGCGTCAGCATGTATAGATACCGAATTTGCTATAAAATTCATCACAGTTTTGAAAAAAATCCCGAAACAGGTACCACGAACCACTTACAAAGGAACTAGGGTAAACAGGAAACTAAATTGAACTGTCCCATATGTAATTTTCATGAAATGCGCATATTATGCTAGATGTAAAAAAACATACTCGCTCCGTCTCAAAATAAGTGTATCAACTTTGTACTAAGTTTAGTAAAAAGTTGCACTAAGGTCAAGACGCTTATTTTGGGACGGATGGGGTATTATGACAGGTGTGTAAATTGTCATCTCGCAAATGAAATGCCATTTCAAATGCTCGATGCTTAAGATAGTACAAGCCTAGCTGGGTTTTCCATGAAAATCTGAGGCTCTCAAAACTTTATCCAGCAACATATAGCAGCCTCGTATACACCATCAGCTTTCGAGCTCCTACCTTTTACAGATGATTTTTTAGCAAGACCCGAAAAGGATGATTGAGAGCTCATTCGTAGAAGAGTCTACAGGCCAGTCGCTCATAATACTCTCTCACTTCCATCTGAATGCCTTAGGGCATCAGTAACATCGCCAAGCTCTTCACTCTCCTCATCGGTTTCCATAGCATCGATGTCAGATTCTTCGTCCTCTGTGTCCTTGTCCTCATAGATAATCGGTGCGGCCGCCTCTTCCTCGTCAGTTTCTTCATCGGCAATCTGGGAAATCTTTAAATTATTTGCAATGCCAACAACAATATCGCTTTTTTTACAGGAAGGAAACTTTTACCTCACTGAACCGGTAATCAAGGGTGGTAGAGAGTTGAAGTGCTGATTTGAAGGTCGACGTTCTTGCATCAATAAGCTGAGAAAAAAAGGCACTCAGTACAATAGTACCCAACAAACAAACGAAAATGTGGTAATCTTAATGAAAGATTCTTAATCAAATACATACTTGTTTGACATACTGTTAGGGCAGCTGATAAAATTACTAACCTGATAGAGTGAATTGAGCAACAGCAGAGAAGACTCCTGTGACACGATGCTGCTCATGTGCCGGCTAAGTAAAGTTTGAAGCCACGGGAGCAAACAAACCAGCTTTGCACCCCTGTGGAGAATAAATCTCTAAATAAGAACTTTTTGTAAAGCTATCATATGTGTATGCATGCATGCAAAATAAAAAATCGCCAAATAATAGGAGAAGTTGCTAGAAGAGGCTAAGCACATTTTGGAAGCCGTACATTCTAGTCATTCCCAAAAAAGATTGGATCCAAAATATGATAGCTTCGTCGTCGTCGCGTCAGTAACGGCGGCAGCCTTCTCCTTGATGGCGCGGCCGCCCCTGCTGGGCCCCTGTCCAGCGTCTCCATGGCGGACCGGCGGCGGCGGCGCGTCGTCGTCGTCGTCGCTGTCGTCGAGGACGACGATGCCTCCCTCGTCCCGGCCGCGGCGACGAGCTTCAAACCGCGCGAAGGCGGCGCACTGGCGCTCCATCTCCGTGTGCGCCCAGTCGTCGCGCGCCCATTTGAGGGCCGCTTCGTCGTCGAGCTCCTCCTCCTTGACGCCGCCGGCGAGCCCCTGCTCCGTCTTCACGGCGGGGAGCCCTGGCTCCGGCTTGACGGTGGCGAGCTCCGGCTCCGTTTTTGGCTTGACGAAGCGCGGAGGAGCCAAGGAGGAGGCGCGCCGGCCACCCTCGTTGATGAAGATGCCGACGCTGCGGGTGTGCCGGCCGAGCGGCGTCTCCGCGGCGGGCTCGGCCTTGACGCTGAGGAGCGCCGGCGAGCCGGAAGAGTGGGAGGAGGAACCGGCGAACCTCATGGGCACCCACGGCCCGGCGCTCCAGCGGGGGGTCGGGACGGCCGCCGCAGCAGGGTATGCCAGCGGCGGGTCATTGCCACCCCCGAGGTACGATAGTACCTCGTGGAGCGTGCGGCCGGGGACGCGGCGGCCGTCGCTGTTCTTGAGGCCGCCAACCACCGGCACCCCGTTCGTGGACGCCAGCCGCTGCGCCTACCGCCGCTGGAAATAGTCCGCCCATGCCACATGGTTGTCGGCGGCGTACTGGGGGAGGGCGCGCTGCTCCCCCGTCAGGGACGACCGCACGCGGTCGACCTCGGCGGCGAAGAGGCCAGGGCGCGCGTCGACATCGGGCACCGGGGGGATGGGGACGCCGCCGTTGCTGAGCCTCCACCCCGTCGGCCCGGCGCGCATGTTCGGCGGCACCGGGATGTTGGCCTCGAAGAGAAGCCACGCCTCGCCCTCCTAGAGCGAGCGGCGGCCGAAGCCGTTGACCGCCGCGGAGTCGCCAGGGAAGCTTTCGGCCATGGAGAGGGGAAGGGGAAGGGGAGGAAGGGGAGAGCGGCAGAGCTCGACGGCGGACAGGAGGGACGGCGGCTGGTTTGGGCTCGGCGGACTCGGGCTGGTGTGGCCAGCGGCGAGGGGAAGCCTCTGGTTTTATAGCCCAGGGCGTGTGAACGCGTGGCGGAAGGGGAGGCATCGCCGCGCCAGCCAGCCCGTGACGCGCCGCCCGTGAGGATCAATGGCAAGGCTGACCGGCGGCAGCCTTGCCATTGATTCCCCGTGGGAAACCGAGGCGTTCTGGGGAAGATAAGGCGCGTGCCACTGACTCGGCGGGTCCGCCGCGCTTTCGCGCCAAAACCCTCGCCCCGGCGTCCCCGAGCGCCCCCCAGCATGCCGGGTTCGGCTCGGTTCCGCCGGCGCCGATTTCGGTCCAAGCCGGCGAAAACGGGCTCATGTGGGCGCGACTGGGCCAATTTTTGGGCGTCGGCGCGGCAAAAACGCTTGGGGAGGGCCTGTGCGGCTGGAGATGCTCTTAAAGGTGTCTGACTGAAGATAGTATCATGGTCAATAGACTGGTGTTCTCTAGTTAAATATTAGATGCACTACATAGTTTGTCCCGAACAATGTACTAAAGAGACAAAATGCCTTGTAAGCTTTCCTACCTAGATTGTATTGACGACACGAAGAACTTGAGAAGCTTCAGGGCATCTCCTGGCGTTAGGAGTGATACTGACTTTACAATGACCTGCATGTAACACAGCAGTAAATTAGCAGACAAGAGAAAATGTTGCATCAAATCGCAATAAGAATAAATAACATGGCAAATGCTGACTTTGGCAGTTGCTAATAACTGAAAGGTTAGACTATTAGGTTTGTTATGGACCAAAAAGCAGGCCAGTCCTTAGCCTAAGGGTGTGTTTGGTTTGAGAACCAAGTGGAGTTGAATGTCATGGTTCCGTTCCACCGGAATGGGTCAATTCCAGTCTTGCGTTTGGTTGGGTTGATTACGTTCCTATGTTTGGTTGAAGAAATTGATTTAGAGATTTGCAACTCTTTGCATTTTCATGAAATCTGATTTTAGTCATTCCACTCGTACACATATGTGTATAGTCTCACAACTCTTTGCATAAATAGGTTGAGCACCGCACAAGGTAAATACATGTTGGAGAAAATACTAACATAAAAATTCCAATATGCTCAGCTCGTTGTTTTCCTCCTCCCGTGCTGTCCTACCTTGCTCACTGGCCTAGCATCCCGTAGCCCCTCCACGTTGTATCAGGCTTGCAGCCCTTCCTCTTCCCTGCAGCGTGTGCCTCCTCTTTCCCTGTCAGATGCAGCCCGGCAGCTATCACGGGTGAGCTCAGCGGCAACCGGCGCTGCAACTCCAGCCACCTGCAGCACCCGTCTGCCGCGGCAAATCGGACCAAACACACCTTTTCTGCTCCTCTGCCAGTCGCTACAGCTCCGTTTTTCTTCTCGGACCGCCGCCTGGCTCGCCTTCAACCACCGTCGCCGCTCTGACACACTGCACGCTGACTAGCAGGCCCCGTTTTCCCCCTTCCGGCGTGGCCGCCTGCACTCACCTCCTACCGGGCTAATGGTCTTGCATGTGCTGCCGCCACCGGATGTGAGAGGGGGTGATTTCGCAGTGATACTTGCAAACCACAACGCGATTCTAGTGAGGAACCGCGTGATTCCACCAATTTGGCGTTGTGAGTTGGTTCGGCATATGGGAGGAATATTCCTCTACGAGGAACCAGTGTATTCCGTTCCGCTTTTCAACCAAACACGAGGATGGCTCGTAAGTGCAAAACCAACCCATTACGTTCCACTCTGCTCCCTGAACCAGACACACCCTAACAGACTACTTCTGGAGAAAAGACCTCCCCTCCCTCCCCC